TCAGACTTTTCTCTTAGCAAACCAGCAGTTTGAAAGAATTGGCAAGGCTTCCTCCAGTTTATTTTTTAGCTTTATTTCAACGTAACACAAGTAGGTGTTATTTTAAAAACAGTCTTCTTCCATGAAAGAGTAAAGCAAAATTTCATAACAAATTAATTAAAGAATAACATTAATTAAAACACTGTGTACTGTAATTTTAATAGAATGGCTAAAATGTTAGAGTACGAGTCATAGACAAAAAAAATCTACAAAAAAGAAACAGATACTAGCATAAAACTTTCTTTTCAGTGAACTAAGAGGACCTAGTGATATAAATGAAACAAATTAGCATGTGCATTGAAATATTTTTGAAACTGGAATATATAATTTGGGGAATTATTAGAACTTCTCCTTCCTTCCTATTTCTCTTCTTTTTTTTCATGTTTCCTTTAACATTTAATAGAAGCTACGTGCAATAAATTTTTTACTGTATTTTATAGCCACTGCAGAAATTTACATAGAATAGAAGGAAGATAGATTGTTAAGGAGGGATATTCTGGCCCTGTGGGATATTTTCTCGGAGCATGCAAATCAGAGTTCAGTTGGGGAAAAGGGTTCAGACTGCCAGATTAAGTGGATGTTTAAGAAAGCTAAAATGCAGGCCTTTGGGTAGATAGATAACCGGACCCTGGGACCACCACTATTTCAAAGGTGCTATTCTTAAACCCAACCCCCATCTGTTCATCTATGTGGATTCTTGCCCATGACTTAGGAAATACCATTCCAAAGATGTCTTTCCCACTAGGTAAAGCCTCAAACATTCATTCAATCCTGGACATAGGGATAACCTCTCCTCCTTGCCTAGAATAGGAAGAAACGCACTACTGCCTAATTGCCCCAATTTTAGTCCTTATTTCCTCCAGTTCTAATATTCCAAAATACAAATAATTTTTTTCCTTGTAATTTTGAAAAAAAATTATCTTCTAGTTGCAACAAACTTTTTGCTTTTAAAAAAATGAAAAAAAATACATTTTAGCAAGTAAAAGGAATACACAAAGACAAGGCAAAAATATGGACAATATCTCTCTGTTCTTTTGCTTTTAAATATCAAGATACAAAAAATATAGTTAAAAATTTGGCTTCTTGTGTCATGAATCACCAAAAGCTTCTACCTAATGAGAAAAAAAAAAAATCTGGCCACAGTGGAGGATTATTTCTCTAGATTATAAGCCATTCAAAATAGAAGCATTTATCTTTTCCCCATTGATTTAAAATCCTGCTTTTTAAATGTATGGTACCAAATCTATTTATGGTATTAAAATATTTATCTATCAACTCTCTAGTTCGGGCTTTTTCTTTTTTTTAATGGATGTAACCATTTCATATGACCATTTCCATCACTTAAGTTTTCTGTTGTATCCAGTCTGCTCTTTGTTGCTCATTTACATCTAAGTCTTGACAACGCACTGCATCTGAAAACAGTCTTTGCTGATCCCCATGTTGTTTTGGAACTTAGGTGGCTTGATGTAATTATCTATGTGAGAACACTTTTCAATCTTGGAAGTACAATATAGGAATTGCAGAAAAGCACACACTGAGTGGAATCAACAAGGATAAGGCAGCAGTCTTGTCTGAGGAAGTTTATTGGTGGATCTTCAGAATATTGCAACCAGCTCTTCTGTTGCCTGCCACAGATAGAATGATTTTATTCTTTGGTCCCAAGTCTGGGCTGTGTATTTGAACTGTTCATGGACATCTAGTACCTCATGATTTTTAAAAGTCCATGTTATCATTTGATTTATTATTATTATTATTATTATTATTATTATGTACTGGGGATTGAACTCAGGGTCTTGTGCTTATGAAGCAGTCTCGGCTTCACTGAGCTAAATCCCTGGCCCTCATTTGATTGTTTAAAAGCGCCATTTCTTTTTAGGGGTCTAGCTGCAAAGTGCTTTTTATGTTGTTAGATCCCGAGCAAACATTTGCCATACACTTTCTTTGTGAAGCACATGTTACCATCAGCTTGATTTTAAAAATGCAGAAAGTAACATAAGAAGAAGAGAAGCCCATTTAGGAAATACTGAACCCCAAGTGAGTTCTGCCGTTTCTTTTTCTGCAGGAGTACTGTGAGTTTAAGAACAGTGAGGACACTGCCTTCCCTAGCATTTACATAGAGCTAAAGGATAAACTCTCAGGCATCTGCAAGGTCATCACAGACTCTACCGTACACTTAATCCAGTTGCTGGAGAACTATAAGAAAAACCTCCAGGATTTTTCCAGAGAAGGTGAGCAGCTTTCTGGCCATGGGATGTGGTGGGCGTGCCTCTAAGAGTGGTTGACTGGGAAAGCAGGAGAAAGCCAAGGAGGCAAGTGCAAATCCAGGGAATGTCTCATCTCCAAAGCCAATCTTGGTTGGGTCATGTGACTAAGGGGCCCTTATCTTGATTTTATTTTGTAATTGAGATCTGGACAAGGTAAGTTAATTACATGATGCAAATGGCTGGCATTTTTATGACTAGCTTCTCAGGTTACTGATGCCTGTATTTTAAGTGGAATCCAAGTCAGTCTGGGATCTTTTTTTGAGCAGATTTCGTTTAGTCTATTGAGTGTGGTCCAGGGTCTAGGTAGGGAAGGATAGCCAAAATGTCTTGCTTCTCACATTCTCCTGACACCTGGACAGTTGTGCATTAACAACTTTGATTTTCTAGAGTATGACATCAGAACGCAAGTGTCTGCTATTGTTCAGCCGAAGTATCGAACCTCAAAGCCTGAACCTAAAACCAGGGAAGAATTCCTACAATGTAAGTTGGAATCAGCTTCCTCTTGCCTACTTGTGTCAGTGTAATGCTTTGCTGAAGAAAGAACCACTATTTCTTTAAGGGGATTCAGGATCTTGCAATGGCTTGTCTATCACTAAATGATACACTTTTAAACATTTAATTAAACAAATTTCACTCTGAAGTAATTCAAAACATTAGAAAAACAGGACAAAGAATTTCTTTATATTTTTAACTCTGCTTCTCCAAATGGTAATACTTTACATAGCTATAGTATATTGATAAAAAAATCAGGAAATTAACATTGGTGCAATAAAGTTTATTAGTTTTCATCAACTATTCTGTTTATGTTCTCCCGCCCTTTTTATTTTGTGATACTGATGATTGAGTCCAGGACTTTGCGCATGACAGGCAAGGTGCTTTACTACTGAACTACATCCCCAGACCTTTTTTTTTTTCTTTAAATGTCAACGGGGTTTTGCTAAGTTACCCAGATTAGTCTTGAGCCTATGATCCTCCTGCCTCAGCTTCCTAAGTGCTGGAATTACAGGTGTGCACCGCTATTCCTGGCTCAAGGTCACTTTTTCTGGCCCCAAATCCAATCCATGAGCACACATTTCCATTTTTCCTTAGTCCTCTTGAGTCTGAGTTAGTTCCTCAGTCTTTCCTTAACTTTTGTGACCTTGGCACTTTGAAGAGTCAGGGCCAGTTACCAAATGGTTCATTTTAAAATCTGGTTCTATCAGATCGATTGTACTGTTGTCGTTTGGTATTGACCAGGGCTGTTAGCTAGCTTTCCCCCGACACCAGTACCAGGAATTGAACCCAGAACCTTCACACTGAGCTACATTCCCCAAGTCTTTTTTATTTTTTGAGACAGGGTCTTGTCACTTGGCAAGACAGGGAGTTGAGCTTGTGATCCCCTTGCCTCAGGCTCCCAAGTGCTGTGAGCACTTTAAAAACCACTATATTTCATACTGGGGATTTAGCTCAGTGGTTCTGCTGCCTGCCTCACAAGCACAAGGACCCAAGTTAGATCCCTGGTACCAAAAAAAACAAAAACAAAAACAAAACAAAAACAAAAACAAACCCCACTATATTTCTTTCTTTTTTTTTTTTTTTTTTTTTTTTTTTTTTTTTT